CACCAAGCCGAATGCTGGGCTCAGCCCGTTGTCAGTGCGACCTGGCGAGGTGAGGAGAGCGCAGGGCAGGGACGGGGCTGGTGCAGGGCTGCCCGGGGAGGAGGGGCACCCCAAACGTGGGGACTCTGGGGCTGTGCGGCCAGCTCAGCCCCGTCCTAGGGGCTGCCCCGGGAGGAGGGGCACCCCAAACCTGGGGGCTCTGGGGCTGTGCTGCCAGCTCAGCCCTGTCCTGCTTCTCCCTCACTCACATCTGGCTTCTCCCCAGAGTCAGTGGAGCAGAGCTTGGACACAGTCCTAGGACGCAGGCTCCAAGCTCTCAGAGTTGACCTGTGCCTTGTCGGACAGAGAGAAGACCCTGGACTTGATGGCGCGGGGTGAGAGCAGAGCTTCCCTCCACAGCCTGGCCAAGGGGCTTTTGGGCAGCGTCCCCTTCCTCGCCAAGGCTTTCAGCCCTGCCCATCATCCAGCTGGGCAGGGGCAGAGCAGCCCATGGGGACGATCCCTGGGGATGCTGCCCCGGCCCCGCAGAGGTGCTCACTGCCACCGGATTTGCGCTGTCCCCTGCAGCGTGCACGCTGTGCCAGAAGGCCAATGTGAAGGCGGGCACCTGTGGAATCAAGTTGCTCTGGCGGGGGCTCTGCTTCGCAGAGGTGCTCACTGCCACTGGATTTGTTCTGTCCCCCACAGTGTGCATGCTGTGCCAGTGGGCAGAGGCAGACATCAGCATCTGTGGGCGCCAGCTCCAGCGGCGGAGTCTCCGCTTCCACAGGTTTTGCCTGGTGAGTTCATTCTTCCAGGAGCCCTCCTGCTTCCTGACAGGCTCTCCCGGCCACATTCTCCTCATCCGCTCCCCCTCTCCTCTCCACTGTAGCAGTTTGCCAGCCACGTTCCATGGCAGCCCTCCAGGCGTGAAGGGTGCTCCCATTACTGCTACGTGGACATCCGAGGAGCCATCCAGCAGCAGAGCAGGTGAGGACCCGACAGGAACTGGGAGATCTGTGGTGGGAAAGGTTTGCAGGAGCTCCGCCCAGACACCGAGGAAGAAACCCCAGCCCTTCCAGCCAGCTCAGGGACAAGAGCCTTGCTCACA